CAGGAGGAGGCTGAATTGACCTTATGTTAGCATTGAAACCAGAATTTTAAATTTTTCTCCTTACTGATGCAAAACCTTAAAGTACTAGCTTGACATTTTTGGTGTTCTCTGGTGTCTGGTAGTGATCCTGCTCTGACTCGGGACTGAGTCATAGCTGTGAGCATGTTCTAAGTTCGGTGTGTGTCTTTGCCAGAAACTGTTGTTAGAAATATAGCTTTGTTTTAAAATGCTGTCTGGAGAAGGTCAAAACACTGCTGCAGATAAAGGATACATCAGCAAAAACTGATTTTATTACCCTTTGGTCTAGAATGGTAGTTTTGCCAGTTTAATACCAAAATACATTAGTATAAAAATATTGGCAGAGCTTGTGTAGTGTAGACTAGTCCTTATGGCTAATCTGGAGCAAAATCATTAATTTGGAAAGACAGCTGCTTCCAAAAAGAAGAGCATTTCCCTCTTGCCTCCTGAAATTTTGTTTGATAGCTTTGTAAGCAGGTCAATGGAACTGCCTTGTTAGCAGTGCAATGATGTCAAAGCAGGCAGAGGTTTTGTTTTAACCTCTGGTCTTTTCTCATTGTGAAGCATCAAAAGCAAAGCAACCGGCTTTGTTTCCCAAATTTTCCAATTGTTCTTCACCATAAATATCTTTAGTCTACTTGAGGTGAATGTGATCTAGAGCATGCTCTTTGGAGGGCTCAGTCTGCAGAAGTTTTGTTATGTTTAGGTACCTGTATACCCGCATGAAAGTGTTCCAAGAATACAGCTGGTCTCTATATAATTTGTCACGGTTGTAGAAATATATCTGTTATCTTTTCATAACAGTTCACAGATAAGGCAGAGGTTTTAACGATAAAATACTCCTACAGAATGGTGACTGGCTCCAGAGAACAGGCTTTGGTGGTGGTGGCTGAATCCTTTGTTTTGTTTTTCATGTTGTTTGTTGGTTTATTTCTATTATTACCTTTTGTTAGTATTGCTATTCCCCTCCACCCCCTCAGGTCATTGGTTAAAGGTCAGAAAAACAAGGTCCCCTCTTAAATGTTCTTCTCATTTATATTAAGTGTCCCACAGCAGTGCTGTTATAGAGGCTTGGCGGTAAGGTTCAAAGTATGGCTGTGGTTTTCCTTTGTGTGTGTGTGTTTGTTTTTATGAGAGTTATGTTGGAAGATCTGTCTTAATTTTACTGAGAACTGTGGACAGTTTTCAATTTACCTGGTTTTATTTTAATGTTTTAAATCTGTTTTGTGCTCTTAGATGTGAGCTGTAATTCCTAGCGATACCAAAACTCGTTCTTAAGACCTTGTTTTCATTTTAACGATTTACCTTGCTTATGTTGTTGCTTACGTATACAGAAGAGGTATTGGAATTTTTCTCCTTATTCTGCGTTATGCAGTGACATTTGAGATGACTCATTAGGATTGTATTCCTTAAGTGATGTGGAAGAACAGATTCTAAATTCGTCTAAGGCAGACACACAACATCAAAACACAGCATAAACCAGTTGTTTGGGTGCCACCTGCTCAAGGTATGGTACATGCCAAGCAGTTCTCCTACAGGTACAAGAGGTTGGGGTGGATGTTGTGGATTTGTTGAACTCCTTGTTTACATTACCAGGAGCAATTTCAACTTACGATGATGATGCCCTTTTTTTTTTAAAAAAAAAAAAGGAAAAAAAGGAGGAGGGACACGGACACACATGGTTTTAAAACATGTATGGAGTCAAGCTGCTCAAAATGAAATTACTTAAGAAAATAGGACTAAGAAGTTCTAAGAAGTTGCCTGGCCTTGTTTTCCCCCAGCTCGGTATGCATCTCAGGTGTGCTCTGCTCCTGCATAATGGGTTTTCTGCTTGGCTGTGGGCTTTTATTTCCTTCTAAACCTTGATGTTCTGGTCTTTCATCTGAGTTGAGGAAGACTGAGGCAGTCTTTTCTGCTGTGGTTTGGCAAATTAGAATGCTTTTAGAGTAATTAGAAATGCTGTCCTTAGTAGGAAGCTCTCACACATGTATTAGAAGCAGCCACATCTGGCCGGACACATCTCTGCACCTTCATTTGCTGAATACCATTTCCAGGTTTCAGCTGCACAAGTCCTGGGCTGAGTGAATCACTGTGGAAAAGAGCACAACAGAGAAAGAAAAGGTCCCTCTGCCTGATGTACTGACAGGCTGGAAACCTCTGTTCGAGCATGGTGTGGAACTTTTTTCTTCTAGAGCGAAATTTGATAGAGAAGCAGGGTTAAGCATTTCACAACCTGCTGTCCACTCTGCACCTGAGCTGGGAACAAACATGTTTGGAAACTTCTCTCGTTCTGGTGGTTGCATAGGCTGTGACAGGGATACCCACACTGCTTCTGCTGCTGAGGTGTGAAAGTGGGTGCAGGTGACAGCCGATGCTGCGTGATGCAAGAGGAGGCACGTCTGTCTCCATTCCTTCCTCTTACATACCCCCTCCTTCGTTCTCCTCCTTCAGCTTTCTTACCACACTTCCACACTAGACTCTTTTCCATCTTAGCGTTTTCCAGCCCAAGCCTAGTGACGATCCATCCTTTAATTTTTTTATTTTTATCCTTTTCTCCCCTCCACTCTCCCCATCAGGCAGCAGCTGTCTCGCAGTACCGACACAAGCAACAAGGAGCACCTCCAGCTGCTCTTTGGGAGTGGTTCTTATGTCACAGCTCAGACATCTCTGCACCAAAATAGATAACCCAGTAGTTCGGTAGCTAGCAAATGAAGGTTATGAGACAGACGGATAACTACCGCTTCTCAGGACACGTGATAGGAAGAAAGCTTACCCGAAAGTGAGTGGGATGCATTTGCATACAGTGAATATTTGCCTACATACAAGTACCTGTAACTTTGGAATCAATCGCTGTGCTCACAAGCTTATTTTTTCTGCTTTGAGTTTGTTTTGGGCAAGCGTCGGTGATTGGTTTGTTTCTTCTCAGGTTAATAACAGCTGTGGCCTGGAAGGTACACAGTAATTAGAACATCCAGCCTGATAAGACCCAAAAACTCTGAGCAACGCTCTCTTGTTACTAGGAGGCGTCCGTGTAAAGTCCGTGCAATGAGGTGATTTAGCTTGGGTGTGTGCAGGTGATGCAGAGATGAAAGTTAGTGATAAACAGCACCAGTCCTTTCCCTAATCTCCCCATTAGCCCTGGCATGCAACGTGTTTATTATACGCCTTGTGCTTGGTTCAAAACCCATGGTGTGTGGCTGGCCCATGTTCTGTGTGGAAGAAACCCCCAACTCGAGTGTAATTGGCATAGGTAAAATTGAGGTACTTTGGGTAGACTTGAAAAATCTGTGTGAGGACACCTCGGTTCTGTGTGTGTGTGTGTGTGCTGTTTTATCACCTGGAGCTCGTGGGGATGACAAAAGTCGATTCCCCGTGGGGACATGAGCTGCACAGTGGTGCTCCAGCCTGGTTTTGCTCTGCAGGACTTCAGCTGGCCGCTCTCAAACCAGCGCCTGTTTTCGCACCGCATGCCATGTCAGAAGTCACCTGGGGCCTCACAGAACCCCAGAACCAGTCTGGTTCTCCTCATCTCATTCCAGGTGTTAGGAAATCAGCAATTCACTAATCCAAGTCATGGTGTTGTCCTGTTATTTGTATTCCACCTCGTGCTAGGTGCTGCACAAACAGAACGAAGCGGCTCAGCTTCAGCCCTCTTGCAGCCGACCGTGTGAATGGGAGCAGCGTGACTCGTGACGGAGCTCTGTGAGAACAAGACCACAAATATGATTAACTCAAGGGCTAAAATTACCGCCCTTATTCACGCTTAAAAATAGCTCCTTATAGACTAGGATTTTATTCGATGTGAGTTGTATCTTGTGAGAAACTAATTTATCCTGAGTGTGAGTAAGTGAAGCAGAATCTGGCCCTTAGCTAAGTCCTATTTATGTATTTATGCACTATGAGTGTGGATAGTGGAGGACAGTGACAAATTAAGATGTCTTCAGCTTAGTAAAGCCACAGCTTTTCACATTAAGAAACTTACTGTATGTAAGAATATATTCAAATGAAAATAGAAATACTTTTAAAGGGTTTATGTAAACGTGTGGGTATATATACAGGCAGTGAAACAACTTTTCTGGTCTTTATAATGTATTCTTGGTTGCCTAAAGTGTGAAAATAAAGTTCAAAATGAGCTTTCAGCTCTTGGGACTGTGTTTACTAGACTGGTTCCCTTTTGAACTCCAAGTTGTCTTTCCTGGAAGAAGTGCTTGTACTTACAACTGATGGAAAGCAAACTTGGCTGTGTTGCTGTTATTTCCTCCTCCTTCCTGCCCCACTTCTCCGTTCTGTTCAAAAGCACATCGAACTGTTCCTGGTATTTTTAAAGAAATTGCTCCTGAGTACAGTGTCCACTGGTGTCGATGAATATTTAAAGCCTGGCAGAGCAGAACACGGGCTGCTTCCTAGAACTGTGAGCACACAGTTCAGTTAGAGCCAGGCATAGCATTAGGCTGATAACATCATAAACTACACAAAAAGGTAATGCAGTCAAAATATTTGTGCTGCCAGTGTATATTCTGATCACGTATGCTCATTCCAATGGTTGTTTGTTTGTTTTGTTCAAGTTTGTTGTTGTGTTTTTTTTTGTTTTTTTTGTTTTTTCAACCTTTACCAAAGCAAATTCTTGCTTCATCTCTCAGCAGAACTGCCATTCTTTTTGAAGTTCTAAGTGATGTTTATGAATGTTTGCAATGAATGAGCCATGGGAAAATTACTTTGGCTCTCTGATGCATGAATAGTTTGCAAGGCTAACATATTTGTTCTGTTTGGAAATGTGATGAGCAATATTAGAAACTGTGCATATAGCCTTTTCATGCTAATTCAAGAGAGGCAATTTTCAAATTATATGGTAAGGTTTTAACATTCCTGTTTCATCTGAAGTGATCTATAGCTTGTTTACTGTTGATTTCTGTAGAAATAAATACTATGCCCAGGTCACAAGTGCTTTTTATTTATTGATTCATTTTCTCCTCTCCTCTTAGAACGAAGTTGAATTACAATCCTCCTAAGGACGATGGCTCAACGTATAAGATTGAACTTGAAGGGATATCTGTTGATATCATGAAAGAGATACTAGATTACATCTTCAGCGGCCAGGTACGATATTAAAATGTGCTAGATGGAAATTGAATTGTTTGGAAAAATAACCTGAGTTTTAAAATAGGCTTATCTGTCAGAATAGCAATCAGGCATCTCACTATAAAGTTTAGTACTTGAAACAACTTCTGCAAGGCAGAAGAAGCCCACACGTGGGCTCTGTACGTGAAATAGAGACTGAGCTCTGCAGTTCTCTCATGCTATGGGGGGAAGGACTAAAAGATTCAGTGTTAAGTGCCGGTATTAAAAGGGTGGCTAACTTCAGTAACCAGCTTTAAAGCACGCAGCCTTTTACTACTGTAAAAGAAAACTGGAGTGATAGCAATGGAGGCTGAGACCCCATCACTGACCGGTATTACAGTACAGCAGGCATCTTCATGCCCAGTTCTCTGTCCTCTTGCTGGCTGTGTACCCATTCAGATCTTTGTTCCAGTCACCTTAGCAGGAATTAAAGTTGGTGTCCATTTTTTTCAGAACCAGACAGTGATTGCTGAACTAGTTTTAAGTTTCAGCATAAACCAAAAAGGCCAATATGGCTTGGAATTCTTTTCTGGATATGCATTTGTAAAAGTTATTTGTTTATTGCAACAAAATTCATTTTAGGTTCTCAGATTAGATTAGCAATTTTTTAGTTCCCTGAGGTGCAAAGTTCTGCTTGACACCTTCAGTCAAGCTAATGCCTTTCCATTTTTTTGTTGGTTTATAAACATGCAATAGTCGTAGTGATTTCTCATAATTTTTATACCCTTTAATACTCCCATTTTCCAGCCACTGAGAATGAGTGTAATGAATGCAGACATGTCATGAAGCAAATGAGTGATAGCAATAACTTCTACATTATTTCTTTCAGATCAGGCTAAATGAAGAAACAATCCAAGATGTGGTACAGGCAGCTGATCTCCTGCTGCTTACAGACTTAAAAACTCTCTGCTGTGAGTTTTTAGAAGGCTGCATAGCTGCTGAGAACTGTATTGGTATTCGGGACTTTGCACTGCACTATTGTTTGCATCATGTTCACTACCTTGCCTCAGAGTATCTGGAAACTCATTTTCGAGATGTCAGCAGCACGGAGGAATTCTTGGAACTGACTCCTCAAAAACTGAAAGAAGTACTGTCAATGGAAAAGCTCAATGTTGGAAACGAAAAATACGTCTTTGAAGCGGTTATCAGGTGGATTTCTCATGATTCAGAATCAAGAAAGGTCAGGATATCAAAAGGTTTATTTTTTCGAATGTAATTCAAATCACTTTGCTTACTCTAATTAGTGGGAGCTTAAAATAGGACCGTTTAGGTTGGAAATGACCCATAAGATCATCAAGACCAGCCATTAACCAAGCACTGCCAAGCCCTTCACTAAACCATGTCCCTAAGCACCACATCTCGTATATACCTCCAGTGATGGTGACTCTGCCACTTCCCTGGGCAGCCTGTTCCAATGCTTAAGCACCCTTGCCATGCGGAAATTATTCTTCCTAATGTCCAATCTAAAGCTCCCCAGCACAACTTGAGAATGTTGGCTTGCATCCTATCGCTTGTCACCTGAGAAAAGAGACTGACACCCTTCTCCCTGCAGCCTCCTTTCAGGTAGCTGTAGAAAGCAATGAGGTCTCTCCTCAGCCTTTCTCAATCCTAAACAGTCCTGGTTCTCTCAGCTGCTCCTTCTAAACCTTGTTTTCTGGGTATGCTTCTTTCATGGATAATGTAGTTCTTGAATTAGACTTTAATTTTGCCAAAAATGCAGACAGCATGGTTGTAGTAAAAAGGTGAATGCTGTGTTGATGATGTATTATCTGCTGTCTTTGTTATTTCATAGACACTAAGAAGAAGGAAAAAAAAGAAGACAGCTTTGGCATTTAATGACATAATCTTGATCTCTGAGAGACAGAGAACAAGCGGCCCATTTGTGAAACTTCAAAGGCTTCTTAATAGCATTGCTGTAGATTTTGCTACTGCTTCCAAATATCAAAAATACTCTTTAAAGCTTTTGATAGGTACAGAAGTACCTGTATGTACAGGTGCCTTGGTGCTGTTTTGTAAAGTCTGGGGAATATCGTTGCATTTGCCTTTTTCTGTAGGTTCACATGAAGGATGTCATGTCAGCAGTGTGGGTGTCAGGCCTGGATGCAGCGTACTTACGGGAGCAGATGATGAGCGAACCGCTGGTACGGGAGATTGTCAAAGAATGCAACAATATTCCGCTCACGCCACCGCAGCAGGGAGAGGCGATGCTGGCCTCCTTCAAGCCCCGGGGCTACTCAGAGTGTATCGTCACTGTCGGTGGAGAGGAAAGAGTGTAAGTACTAAGAGGCATTGCAGGTTGTCACAAATGGCCAAATCCAACCATCCAGCATCCACGGGGCATCTGAAAACACAGCATGTTTTCTATACACCTAATGTGCTTATTAGTATTTCATTTGAGCTTGGTCTTGAGTTGGTCAGCCACACCTAAAATACCTTTGTGAATGATTCAGCAATAAATAGTTATTTTGTGATAATTTTCTGAAATTCTACATGGGGTAGACTTAGAATAGGTCATGTGTGTTTAGTAAACATTGGCTGTTTTTTTAACTGAATAGATTTTACTCTAAGCACAGAACATTGGAGAAACTCTTTTCTAATGATGTGAAAAGCGTCTATAGTAAGCCTGAATAATAATGAATGTGTGCTTTAACTGTTTTGCTTATAGTAGCTGTGGTTCCAAAGAACATTATCAGTGCATCTGAGATGCCAGGTGAAAATTTGTGTTCCACACAATCCCTTTCTTTGCTTTTTCTTTACTCATGCAGTGCAGGAGACGGTTTTGTCCAGTTTAAGTTTAGCACTCTAAAAGTTAGCTCTTTATAGAAGTGAAATAAAACACTCAGATATTTAAGGTTTTGCATATCAGGTTGCACTCTCGCTTTTCTGAGATGTTACTGAAAATCCCCATCAGTTCTTCTCAGTTCAAACAAAGTTCTTCATAAAAGTATGTGCAGATGTAATATGAATGAGGTGCTCCTGCTTTTTATGTCATCAGTTTGTACAAAACTAAACTTGCATTTGGTTTGGGGATTTTCTCCTTACCAGGTAAATGCCATACTTTATGAATGTACATTGCTCTGAACAGAAAAGTTTCAGACACAGTGGTTAACAGTGAACTTGTAAAACTGTGTCTCAGTTTTGTTTGTTTGTTCCTCACCTTGTGTTCAGATCACGGAAACCAACCTCAGTGATGCGGTGCATGTGTCCTCTTTATGACCCCAATAGGCAGCTCTGGATTGAACTTGCTCCTATGAGTATTCCAAGGATCAATCATGGAGTATTGTCAGCAGGTAAAGGGGAACTTTGTGTTTGTCAAGCCAATGTTATGAAAACTTACCCTGCCTCAAAATGCGAGATACACTTTATAATAATTCTTTTCTTTTAAGATTGGTTGCACTGGGTTTATTTCATGCTTCCCCTTTGTCTGGCCAAAACATCACTTTATTCTGTGAATCTTCCTGTCATCTGAGTGTCTTAAAATGACCATTCGCACAATATTTTATGGGAGCCTACTCATCTGTCTCTCCAAGAGTATTTCATGTTTCAAGTAGATTCTAGTTGTTGCATCACTGAATATATTGAATAGTATCTGCAGTAGTAGACTTAAGTACAAGTATAAGTAAGGGTTTTTACCTTCTCCGGCCCAGAGTTTGACCTGTGACTGGTCTGAACCTCTTAGCAAAGTCTAGGATACAGCTCACCAGTCATGTTGTCTTGCTCAGTGTGCAGGTGTGAACCCTGTTTTTAAGATCACATCATATTTTGTTTTACAGAAGGATTTTTATTTGTGCTTGGTGGTCAAGATGAAAACAAAGGAACGCTAAGCTCTGGAGAGAAATATGATCCAGATACCAATTCATGGAGTTCCTTGCCACCGATGAATGAGGCAAGCTCCTTACTTAACTGTTGGAATTTAATTTATTTATTTTTTTTTTTACTTTGGCAAAATGTTCTGTTGCTTTGCAAAATTTTATTCTGAGTCTCCTGTCATTTGCATTTTATGCATTCAAAACCATGCTACAGATTGCTTTCTACTTATATCTTGTGGTTTCTCATGGTTCGATAATGACGGCAGGGTCTGGAAAACCTGGTGAACAGCTAGCTGTAAAGCTGAACCTCAGGAATTCCACACCGAAGCAGTATGCTTAACGCTCTGTGTAGACTGACATTCTATGAATATGCATAAGTTTCCCTTACTTGTATGCAAGAGAACTCTTACAGGGGTAAAGGGATTGGGCTGTGCAGAAGAGACAGAGGGCAGGTCAACATGCAGAAGTTGACTTGCACAGTTGTATTTGAGTTAATATTTCCTTCTTCATATTTGCATCCCATCAAAAAGGAACAGTTTATTATTTGCATTTGTTATTCTTAATGTGCCTGCATATTTTATTTTCTTAAATCAGCACAGGTTGTTTGTTACAAAATTGTTGTTTGCCACAGGATTTTCCTTATTAAAGTCTCCTATTGGCGAGGACCTGTAATTGTGCTCAAAGGAAATCCACGTTTGTAGTTGTGATGCATTATGTTTCTTGTTTACTATGAGTAAGACAGTGAAGGTAGCTGTGCTGTTTACAAAACAGAAGGGCTGCCTTTTCACAGATCGTGGGTCCAGATTTTGCTACTGTAGAGACTTGAAAGCAGCAGCTTCATCTTGGAGGCCGCTACTATGCAAACTGAAATATGGCCAAGCTCTGTTCTTAGATTTCTGCAGAGTCCCTTCTGCCTTTGCTGCTGTTTGACTACCCTTTGTGTTGTTTAATTGGAGAGTTTAATAATGTTCGTTGTGAGATTGAGCCTTAACTTTTTAGTAAATAAATTAAAACCCCACACAAATAATGCCAGTATCACTTTGCTGACAGATATGAGAAAAAAAATTGTATTGATTTATTCACAACAGCAGTTACAGCGTTGACTTTATTCCTTAGGCACGACATAATTTTGGTGTGGTAGAGATTGATGGAATTCTGTATATTCTGGGAGGCGAGGATGGTGAAAGGGAGCTAATCTCTATGGAGAGCTATGATATTTATAGCCGTACCTGGACCAAGCAGCCAGACTTGACTATGGTTAGAAAGGTAAGAACTACATTGAATGCTATCGCATCACTTGCTGTTAAACAGTTTAAACCAGCCTATGTATTTTAACCCTTTGTTTCAAGTAGAAAATGTAACAAATAATCCTCAAAATGAAATGAGCAACTTTATAAATAAAGTTTATAAAACTGTGGCTGAAAACTTCTATGTACAGCATTGTTTGACGTGCAGTACAGGTAACCCAGATATGTGTGTGTGTGCATGTGTATATAGGTCGTTTGAGCTCTTGATACTGTGTGTTTGCATGTAATCTTAGGTGTACTTTTTTCTTTTTTATCTTCAAGATTGGCTGCTATGCAGCTATGAAGAAGAAAATCTATGCAATGGGTGGAGGCTCCTATGGAAAGCTCTTTGAATCTGTTGAGTGTTATGATCCTAGGACTCAGCAGTGGACAGCAATTTGTCCTCTGAAAGAGAGAAGGTGGGTAAAAACGGAGGGCAGGAGGAGAGGGAGAACTAGATTGCAAGAGTATATTCAGTCAGAAACCTCCAAAACAGTCACAAAAGCATTTGGTTATTTACTTATTTAAATAAAGGAAGAGTTGACAGTTCATGTCATCAGTGTTGTATCAGTCTATGCTTCATATCATGTACAGACGTTTTAACACCAAAGTGCTGATGCTCTGATTAGAAGTACTTGCCTTTACTCCTCTGACAAATCCCTAAATACTGCTGTTAGAAAGCCCTGTGAATTTCACACTGTCTTTCTGATCATGGTGGCCTGTGATTGTAATGCCAAGATGTGGCTGAGTAAAGATAAGTATCCAAGCAATAGATATGGATTCTGTAGGAATATGCTTCTCCTGTTACAAGCAACACTATCCTGATGCAAAACAAAGTAGAAATTGTAGTTCAGTTGGAGTTTCAGAATTGTACTTGTTGTTTTGTTCATTTACATGGTCTGAAGTAGGTGCTCATAATTTTATATTAATGACTCATCCAACTTTGTCAAATATATAATATTTTGATAAAAATATGTTTTTAGCTATATACATGTATGTAAAAAAAAAAAAAAGAAAATTCAGATGGATTAAATGGTTTTGATATATCTTTTGGTTATGTTTTTGGTTTTTTTTTCCTCCTTTCTTATTTGGATTTGCAGATTTGGGGCAGTGGCCTGCGGAGTTGCCTCTGAGCTTTATGTATTTGGTGGGGTCAGGAGTCGTGATGACAGTCAAGCCAGCGAGATGGTGACATGCAAATCTGAATTTTATCATGACGAGTTTAAAAGGTAACTAATTATAGCTGTATGCATATGCTTCAGTCATAATTGACAAGCTTTGGTACTTCCAGTGTTTTCTTCTTGCATGTAACAGTAAATTGGACAACTTTGCTTTTTTATTCTACTGAATTGCAGTAAGACTTTACTGTCAGAAATCTCAAAGATGTTGACTGTGGAGATTACCAAGTCTGTATTACAAGATAAAGACTTTTTTATGTCTGTCACCTGTATAAAAGCACACGAAAATGAAATAGTAGTTGGAAGTTTATTATATAATTTTATTCTAAGGTGTGAATGTAAAGAGGTTTTAATTTTTTGTTTGAAAGGGTCTTCTGTGTTATTTTAAATGATGTCCAAACTAGCTCTAATCAAAAGAAGCTGGAGAAGAAATGCTCTTCAAGGTGGTTATAGGAAGCCGACAGATAAGAGGTTAATGCTGCTGATGCTCCCTAGTGTTTTCTGTTCCCTTGGTGTGGGGGAAATGCTAAAGGCTAATAAGCTTTTGGGCATGAGGTGGTATATAGTTCAGAAGGTGATATATAGTTCATGATTTCTTACCAGTGCTCTGGTTGGTGCAGTCTAAGCTCACAGGTAAAGTGTAGCTTGAAAAAGTTTGCAGTTTCTGGCCCAGTGCAGGTGAGTTGGTGGTGCCACCTGCTGTCTGCAGGTATCTGTAAGGCAGCATTTCTAATAGTGCATTTCTCTGGGTTTGCTTGGTGTGGCATCCCAGAGGTGTTACAGGCTTCATGTATCACTGTAATACAAATCCAGTCACTTCAGCTCTTGATCTAGGACCTCATCTGTCCTGTGAGAGCCACGAGGGCTGTGCTGGCACAGAGGGAGGTGAGGTAGCAGCAGGTAATGTGACTGCTGAGCTGCTCGCAGAGGCACATGTTGAGGGCTGCTTTGCTTTGTCTTTCTGCCTTGCCAACACACTGAATTCAATCTTAAAAGTTCAACCTGGCATAAACTTGTGCATGGGCTCCAAGGGCTGCTTGGGAGACCAGGCTGGTTACCAGCGGAGTGCCAGCTCCCTGTGCCGCTCCGCAGCAATCTGCCTCTGCCCTCTGGTTTTGGAAGAGCCCGTTTTCATCCCCCGGAGTGAGAAGTGATGGCACTTAACCAGGAGAGGGTGCTGTGTTACCACGCTGTTTTATAGCATTAGCTAGCAGGGACTAGCACTTACCCTTAATTTCAGGCACTGCCTGAGTGCTGGGCAGGATGAGTGCCACTCGCTGAAGCCATGGCAGTGCCTGAGAAGCCTGAGCTGTGCTTGCCTGGGGAAGAGAGAAAATAGTCGTAAAGGGACTTTGCTTCAAAGTGAAGTTAGCAAATTGTTCTGCCTGCCAAATGCCAAGACAAAATACACTATTGTCTGGCACTGGCCTTTGAAGTAAGATTGAATCTGGAATATTATAATAATTTCATTATAATAGTGTTTTGCAAATATGAAATGAATACCAAATGAAGGCAAGTTGACTCCCTGGAAAACATGAGGGTGTTTCCTCAGCTGATTCAGTAAGCGCAGAAAACAAATCTAAATCACTTTATTTGGAGTGAAGCATGAAAGCTTAAATTATGTGCTTCTCTTAAATCTGTGAAAACCATATGCTAAATACTGGGGTGTGTGTTTGATCAGTTAAGCAGTTCCACTTGCACAGGGTATCATGTGCTCTGCTGTGCATCAGTACTCCGAATAAAGCAGAAGTGATGCTATACATTTTACCAAAGGTGGACAATGTCTTCGTCCCAGTTCCAGAGCGCATAGTTTAATGTGATGTATGCAAAGACTGATTCTTTATCTTAATCTTATGCATTTCTTATGAAATTATTAGTTTATTATTGCAAAGTGCATTTATTTCTTCTGTGATAGTTTCTGAAACAAATAGTAGTAATTAGTCTTCAAATCAGCAGCTTCAAGAAGTCAGGATGAAGCACCTTGAAACTCCAAATAGTGTATTCCTCTTCTAGTTACAATGAAGAAATAATACTGGAGCTGTCTGATCAAACCTGAAATACCACCACAGACTGTGTGTGTATATGATTGACAAAAGTCTGTGGAAAGGAGGAATGTGTTTGGAAGATTATTTAGTAACAGTGGGCCAAAAGCTCGACGTATGAATTCTAACAGTGTATATCCAGAAAGCTCTCAAAACAAAATTCAGAGCGGCTTTTTGAATAGCAGCTTACTGGTGTTGCATATTTCCTAATGAACTACAGGCTTTTCCAGCTGTGTTTAAGTAACTTCAGAACTCTGTCGTGTTTGGTCCCGTTTTGAGTGGAAAGAGCTTTTTGCACTGAGTTCAGCCATCAGGTACTGCTGGTTCAGTTCTGTGCAGCAATACACATGTGCGTGATTTGCATCATTTTTTCATATGTGTGACACAACCCTCAGTACCTAAGAGGAAAGGATATAGAGTTATCCTAGGCATCCTGAGTCCATGGGGAACTGAGTTACGGGTTTTAGGTAAGCATTTGCACTTATATCAGTATATAAACTAGTATAAATCTGTTTTCAATTGGATTAAAGGACTGAGGCTTAACTTGTTTGATATTGCTTACTTGGACAGTAACTTAGTCCAGAATAATTCATTGTGTGCAGTCTTTCAGAATTGTTATTCTTCCCCATGACACACACTTCTCTAAAGACTGAAATATGCCGAGATCTTCACATGAGCCAAAAACAAAAAAAAAAAAACACCAACATTAAAAATCCTGTTAAACTATACTGTATAAACAAGCAATAAAATAAATGAAGTGAGATGGAATACTAGCATACACATGAAATGTGGAGTGGGTAATGTAGTAATTCTTGTAATATTTGAAGTACTTCTGTAACTGAAGTTTTTCAGTTAATAAATGTTTTGTCAGCCTTGTGCATGAGTGAATTTAAGTAAACTGTGGATAGGAAATATATACAATTGGGCCGCAGGGTTTTTTGAGGATGTAGACTTTTTTTTAAGTGTTATGAACTGAGCTTTGTGTACATTGCATACTTGTTTTAAAAATATAGCTCAGGATAAGAATTGATTTTAAAAAATGTGAGAGATGAGCAACATGTGTCAGAGGTGCTGGTGGAGCCCTGTCCTTGAGTGTAGCCACTGGTTCTCTGTGAGTGGGGTAGTTTAGTGGTTTTTGTTTGTTTGTTTTGTTTTGAAATTATTATTATTATTAATTCTTACTAGCTCCTAGTTCAAAAGAATTATCAAAATTTGCAGATATCTAGGGGAATAAAAGTGAGATGCTTGTTCTGTAGCAGTAGTTGGCTAAAAAAACGAATTCCTTTTGCTTCTGGAACATCATAGAAATAAGAAAATGCTTTCAGCGGTATGTAAATAGTAAACCAAACAAACTTGTAGTATTAGGGAGGTTGGTCCATATGGTATGCAGGAATCTCATTAGAAGGAAATGCTTATGCAAATGTAATGAGAAAACTGTCTGACTGATAGTGCTGTCAGATAAGCAGAGCACAGAAGAGGTTTTCATTCATTTGTAGGCTTCCTTTCACAGCTGCTTGGAGCTGAAGGTGACGTGTGTGAATGCACTGGGTCTGTATTGTGTCCCTATTTACTTCTCATTTGGAAATAAGTTACCATCCCGCTTAGCACATACAGCAGTTAAATTAATTTTTTGGGTTGTATCCCTTTAAGACTGAAAGAAACCAGGATTCCTCCCCCCTCCCATTTTTTTTTTTTAATTTCTGTGGAAGCATATTTCAGTTTCACAGTAATTGTTTTTGCCCGTGGTTACGCGCCTCTGCCGCTCTCAGATTCCGTTTGAGCAGAGCCGTCCTGGAGAAGTACGTAAGAGCTGTGTTCCGAGGAGTGTTTTTGAATTCCTGAAGACTGTGAATTTCTTGTATGGTGTTTTTTCCATACTGTTCCAACAGTAGGCACAGCCCACATGGAGCTGGAGCGTAGTCAAGCTCTGATGAAACGTGACCCCTTGCCCTTCCTGTCTTTGTTCCTTCCTAGTTTTAACTGCTAAAACTGCTGTAAGCGTTCCTGAAAAGTTGGGGCTGTTTTTAAAGTGTATGTGTTGAGAAAGGCTGAGAAGGAATTTTCACAAGCAACTGCAGATACTTTAATATTTCTTTCCTTGATGTGCGGTAGTAAAATGGTTGGGTCCTGCGCTTTTTAAACTCCAGAGCTTTGATTGTCTGGTGCAGCCAAATCCCCAAAGTTCACATGATTTCCACACTTGATCAGTAGCTAGCCTAACCCATCTAGTGTTGTACTTTTCCTTCCTTGACGTAGTATTCTATTTGCAACTAAAAAATAATCTTCCTCTTCCATTTCTCTACTGCTTAATTCAGTTTTCTTAATTCTAGGTACCTTGGTACTAAAAATAAAAATATTGAACGTGTCCTCTTCCCATAGTCAAGAAAGAAAGCTAGTGAAATATGCTGTAAAGTGTTTTGCTGTGTAACAGAGTTCTTGAATCACTGCAGAAGATTTTCTCTCTTCATTGCTCATTTGTGTTCCTCTGTGACAGCTACAAACGTTTCCATTCCTTTCTGCAGCATTGTAGTGTTCAGTGTATAGCATAGACAATAAAATAATAATGGGCAGCTCATCCTTTAATTTGGCCTTTAAAATCGATCCTTCCAAGACAATTAATATGTAGCAGCTTCCCTTTCAGTGCCAGGAAAGAGGCTTGCTTCTGAATCATGAGTGAAGCTGAGACAGAATTTTCCAAGGCCAGCAATATCCATGAGAATATTTCCTGACTTTTACCTCAAATTAACCAGGTGTGGCATTGCAAATGGATGGTACTGCTGTCAAAGGCTTTTCAAACTCTCCTGTTTTCTGTAAATTACTTAATAAAAGATCTGGGAGCAGTCACCTAAAATAACATTGATTTGTATGTCTTCAGGATCTAACAATCATAACTATGACAGCGTCTGCAAAAGTGCAGCAGCATCTGTAGAAATTGATTTCAAAACCATGGAGAGGGTGCTGACAACTCTAGAGAAACGGGACACCTTTATAAACATGTGTCTCTCAGGGGTGACAGGGTACATACCTGGCTTCCAAAAGCTTCAACTTAGAAACCTGCTTTTCACATGGCAGGAAGATCAAGCTGATGTGGTATTGAAATGAAGGTGTTCTTAATGTGAACACAGGGGAGCTGTAGGATTACAGAACGAGCTAGGAAGTGCTTGAAAAGAGCCTGATATGTGATTGGGAAGTTCTCTTTCACTTCCAAGGAATGAACGTTTCGTTCCCCAGTTCCCTTACCAGTTTGAGTTCCAATCTCTTATGCCTTGTTTAAAATGAAGCATTGCCGAGTGCTGTGTTCTTCTTCCTGGCCAGGGAATTTCGTGTTGCTGGTAAAGTGCAGTTAAAGAAGTTAGGGAATTGTATGGGGGAAGGCATTCCTTTGTAACGAGGACTCACTGTGGCAACATGGTTTTTCCCCTGCTATAGACTGTTAAGATTTACACGTTTTTATGATTTTGCTGATTTGAAGACAAAATTGACTAGAATTTTCTTTGTAGGGAAAATTGACTGTTGTAGCTGTTGGTGGAAAAAAGGCTCTTACATGCCTGCATTTCTTTCACACTGGGCGTCTGCAAGAAGAATTTATTTTGGATTAGATTACGCAGATGAGTGAAGCAATTCTGCAATACAGTAAATTCAAGATAAAGTATCCAAAATTTCCTAAATAGTAGTACCAATTGGTTTTCCTAGCTAGGAAGAACCAGGTCTGTCTTGAACTAGACAATTTTACATCAATTTTTACATAAAAATAATTAACTTGTACACTCTGGTTTTGATTCAAAGATGGCAGTTGGAAAATGAACCTGGATTTTTTTTTGTGTTGGATAAAAATCACAAACCAGTTTATTTTTATTTTCTTACAGGTGGATTTATCTAAATGACCAGAACCTGTGTATCCCAACTAGTTCTTCTTTCGTGTATGGAGCTGTGCCCATTGGAGCCAGCATTTACGTGATTGGGGATCTTGATACAGGTCAGAACTAGAACTCATAACGTCTGTTGCTTGTCTTCTTCCAGTCTTTTAAATACTCGGTGCTAATAAGACTGATTTTTTAAAAAATGAAAACGTAGGAGTTCACTCCAGTCCTCTGTAATTTTAGATTACGTCCTGTTAAGTTATCGTTGTCTTCAGGGAAGTTCTGCTAGTTGTACAGAACTGTACAGGTTTGTTTTGTACATTGGACCTCAAAAACAAATTTGGCATTATAATTTGGTTGGTTATCTGTCTGAAGATCAGAAGAGATCAAGAGTATGTTACTTCATCTAAACAGAAGCAAAAATGTTAGTGCCTGGGGCTGTTTATCCTTTCTTTGCGGTGGTAGGCAGGTGGTTTTGTGTTTTGGGACCTCATCTTGTGGTTCACCTGCATGGGATAGTGGCTACACGAGGTGATAGATACACAGGTGTGCTACTGAGCATATTTAGTGCTCCTCCTCACAGCTTTCAGTATCTGGCTGCATACTGTGAAAGACATTTGGAAGACTGCATGTTTTCATGCCTGTGTGTAAAACAGGGCTTTCTACAGAAACATGAAACAGCAAAATTCCTGGTGCGGTGGGTTTAATTAGATAAGAAATGTCACCTTTTGCTTTTGAGAATAATTTGAGTCACGTATCTCGAACCTGATTTGTAGTCCTGTGCATGCTCTTGTGTTTGCCTTAGAGGTGAAGTGTGCTGGTGGGTACTGTATGTTTTAAGCATTTTATTTTTGTGTGTGTGGATCTAGGTACAAATTATGACTATGTTAGAGAATTTAAAAGAAGCACGGGAACCTGGCAGCGCACTAAGCCACTATTTCCATCGGACCTTCGCCGTACTGGCTGTGCAGCTTTGCGGATCGCAAACTGCAAGCTCTTCCGACTGCAGCTTCAGCAGGGATTATTCCGCATTCGTGTACCTTCTCCGTGATCTGTATGCTGCCAGTGGAGGAGACTGGAAGAATTCTGCGCAGTCCACCATAATATAGCTCTATATAAAGGAAAAGCTGAGAAATTACAACTGAAACTTACACTGTATGCTGTGCTTTGGTATGGTAACTGTTTTTGTTTTAAATGCTTAAAAAGCTTGAGTCTCAGTTCTTGTTTCGGGGACAAATAACTTACGTATACATTAAAAAGAAGAGGGGGGAAAAAACGGGAATCAAGGAAACACCTTCAGTCGTAACCGTTTGGACTCTAAAGCGTGTTATTGAAGGAGGTTTGCTGTGTCTGGAACTGGTGGGAATTGGTATTCCTTTGGCAAAGGTTATTGAAAAGCAAAAAAAAGATCTAAGGTGCGTTTCCCCTGAGGGGAACTGATAAGAATAAATGTGCTATCTCGGACTGGATAGCTATAATACGCAGAAGCTATATGAAAACCAACCTCCCTGGTATACTGCAAGGACTGTTGTTTGACTGTAATGCCGCCGGAGATGTTGGTTGTTGCACCTTTTACTTCTAGTCCTTCCTCAAAAGTTAAGGTCTGTGCCTAAAAATGGTGGAGGTGTGTACATACGTTTTTCATTCATTTGCAATGTTTTCATTCCTAAAAATATTTTTAATATATTTAAAATGGACTAATCTAAAATGGATACAGTATACTGTAGAGAAGTAAACTTTTTTCTACGCTGTCATTTGAATAGCCTGGTGAACTGGTGTACAGATGGGCGGCATGTGTTCCTGCATGGATTTTAGAGGCCGTTTTCTTGAAGTAAAGGGAAGTGGCGTTTGGAACGGTTCGTGACAATTGCTGCTCTTGGTAAAAGACAACAAAACTTGAGAAATTAAAGAAAATAGGTTATGTTCCTTTTTACTTCAGATCACGTGAAAACTAGGAAAATGTTTTTTAAGATTGAGGATTATAGGAAGATGCATTTTATCTCTGTTGGAACAAAGGTAAAATATGACAAGGATATATTTGTTTCACAGAGAAAAGGATTTTTTTTTTTTGGACTATCAGTTAAGGAAAATCAGTACAGCTATTTTAAATTGGGATCAAAAGTTGGTTTACTAATAATTTCCATGCTAGGGTGCAGAGTCTCGTTTCCTGCTGCTTGACTTTGAAAGCTGGGTTTTATGGTGTGGTTATAGTGAAGAATTTGGTATCTTGCATTTTATTTCTTAGCAAGTCTTGTTCACATCGTTAGTGATACTTAACTGACTTTTGTTCATAGTAAAAATCGGCTGGTAGAACACTTTACCTCACTTTTTAATGTCACTGTTGTTTGTGATGGGTGGGATGTAATCTATATTTATTTAAAAGGAATAAAGCAAGAGAGGTGAAAATAGAAATAAGGCTTCCTGCCCTTCAGAAAAAGAGTTTTTGTATAACCAGTATTATAACTACATAAAATACTTTCCACTCTGCAATTTTGTGGACCTCAGACAAGCCAATCTCTGCCCTCAGTTGTTAGTGTAAACCTGTGTCATTTTTACTGAATCATCTTAAGTCTGCTGAAGAACAACCCCAGACTAGTACAATAGCTGTATTTAACTAAATGTTCCTTGAAGAGACGTTCTGAAACTTACTCCTGCTCAGTCCTTCCACATTGCTGATGTGTAGCTGGAATTACTCTGATTCTGAGAGAAGGGGTGAAAATAAATCAACAAGAGAGGGCAGCAGTCAATCCCTTGACAATTATTTATTTTTTTTATTTTTTACAGTGCTGAAGTGCTGCAAAACTTGAATTACATACATCAGTTTTCTGACCTATATTAGTTGGCGTATTAAAACATTTATATTATATTTATGCATTGCAGTAAACTTGGTGTGTGTATATATATATGTCTTTAGATTTTAAATTTATATAAATGCTTTACTGCAGAAATGTGAACCACTATTTCCATTGTCAGCTGTCTTGTGAAATGAATCAAGTGCTGTTAGCTTATCTGTAAAACTTCCCTTTTCCAAAAATGTTACGTTAATTTTTCCTTAGACAAAGTGCCGAGATCCTATATCCAAAAGTGATGAGATTGAATGTTTCTAAGCATCTGTTTCACTTTTGAACTTAGTTTTTCTAAGTGGCTTAGAAAACTCTCAGAAACGTTATTTAGACTAGTGCTGGCTGCTATCTCTTGAGTCCCTAGCTCCCTAGTACAGTTGTGGGCATTTAGTGTCCAGAAAACCTAAGTAATAAATGCACAAAATAAATCCAAATCATATATACATTAGCAGTGTTTTGCAGTTAAAGTTATGAACAAGATGTTTACACTTACAGTAGGATTACAGTAGGTATTCGTTCCTTTTTTTTTTTTTTTTTAGTGTAAATAAAGCAAGCAATTCTGCTGGTAACCAGAATGTGTTGCAAATGCTCTCCCTTACTCAGCTAGATTTGACCAAGAAGCTCAAGTCTCCTCACCTGAAACAATTACAAACTTAATATCTTAGCACGTTGCTTTCTCTGTGGTTGGAGGTCAGGGACCAAGCCTCTAGAGATGCTGTCACCTTGAGCTTCATGTGCAGGCACAAGTCAAAGATTTGGCAAGACCCCTTCATCTTTCAGGGTCTTTCCAGCTCTAATCTGCGAGCTCGGTGATGAGTGCCTCTCTTGGGATGTGAGATCCCTGCCTGGTCTGGAGCTGGGCTTCAAAGCCCAGGCTCTGTTTTTCCCCAAGAGAGCTCTGTTGTGCAGGTGGTGGTGTCTGAGCTGGGTGGCTGGTCTCGGTGTGAGGTGGAAGGTGGTTTGCTTTGGTAGAGGATTTGATTCCAGAGGTGCCAAGTGTGCAGGGTGTTGGTCTGGGTTTGACACTGCTGCCCAGCCATCCCTGCTTTCCTGGCAGCTGTGTACCCTGCATGTGGTGGCTGAACCATGCGTGAAGCAACTCCTGAACTTTCTCAGTTTGCAATCCAGGTGGTTTCAGATGTTTTGGCAGCTTAGCAACTTGCTTAAGTAGTCCTTGCTTGGCATGGTAGCCTCAATAGCCGCTCTAACTTAATTCCTTCCAGCTCACAAATCAGCATTCTTCAATCCAGCCAGTTCCTTCACCAATTAATTCTTGAATGTTTTTCTTAACCAGCAGCCTGTGCTGCTGGCTGGCTTCTGGGGATCAGGTTTGTAGGCACCCTTTTTCCCAGTTTCTCGAGGCCAATGTCAGTCAGGCAGAAGGGTGCTACTGACTTGGTGCCCAGCACACCTCGCAGCAGGGCTGCGTCCCTGGGGTGCTGCTTTCAGGTGGCCACATCTCGAGGCGAGGCCAGGCAAGGACTGGGTCACAGTGCAGGTGTGAGTGGCTTGGTCCTGGCTCTGTGTCCTTTCCTCTCCTGTGCTGCAAAATTGGACAAACCCAAGGACTTGTAGTCAGAAAATCCCCAATTATGGGGTGGAGGTTGCAGAAGATGGGAATAGCAGTGGTTTTCTTCCCATCACTCCAACTCCCACCACAATTTCTCCCAAAATATTTTTTCCTCCATTTCTCCCCGTACAACAGATTAGTTTTGGAAAGGCTCTAGAACAGCTGACCTAAGGGTAAAGCACAACAGTTGGACTGCAGAAGTGGAAAAAAGAGAGAATGCCATAAACACGAGGCTTCAGCCTACAGAGGTGAGGGAGATGTGCAGCAGGCAGGCTTTCTCTTCCTCACCTGGCCTCTGTAGAGCCATTCGTGCTCCTAAATAGTCAGCACTGGATTCCAAATTCTCCTTCTCTTTCTAACCTGAGAAAGGGACATCCTGAAATCTTCTGTTGTACTACAGCAGGGTCGGTCTGTCTGTCTTTAAATAGTTTGTCAGCAATCCATAGAGTTTTAGATTTTTGAAAATGCTGTATTGACTCAGCTGATCCTGGTCACTTGATTTTTCAGTAGCTTTGAAGTACCTCATCTGTGAATTGAACCCAAATTAATATGTAATTAAACAAAAGGACAGTAGTGAATCTGAAAATAAAGGCAAATTTATGAGCCAGCTCACTAATAACTGCAGGCAGGTCATAGCCCTTTTGATTTTGACAGCACAAGACTTGCAAGTCGCACTCTGCCTTCTGATTCAGAATTCTTGCTCAAAATATGTTTGAAAAATACGTGTTTTCATTAAAGCTACCAAAGTGCCTGGCTTTGTTTTTTATCAACTCTCCTTCCAGAAAGCATCAGGCAGCTTAATTTCTTTTTTTTTTTTTTTTTTTTCCTCCAGTATTTCTTGTGCCTGCATGACTTGGTAAATGCAAAAGTGTAAAAATTGAGGGGTTTAGGGAATGTTTTCCCTGCTTTGACTGCAGTTCCTCTGGTCAGCTCGATAAATACAGTGTCTGTACAGCCTGCTTGGTTTTGGGTAATGTGCATTTGCCATGCAAAGTGCAGGATGCAATAACAAACACAAGTTGTTCCAAGTGCCAAACTTGTGGTTTCCTCTGTATATAACAATAATTCAACTCTTCTGTTAAAACACAGAATGCTTAAAATTCACTGTGTTTAAAAAAAAAAAAAAAATAATGATTCTTTTTTTTAATGAATGTTGCTTAAAACACTGTAAATCTTTAATTTTTGTGTAATACTGTTCTGCAGATTTGTGTTACTCTTCACAGCTGCCTTGTGCCATCACTCCGTGTGATGCATATGGACACGCTGCTCTTTATTGGAGCACTAGTGCCATGCAAGTATATAATGAATGGCAGCTGACAATAGGTTTTAGTATATAAAATTATACATATTTAGATAAAGTACAATTCGTTTGAATTAATCTTATCTGCAGAAGGAAAGTTGTGTCCCAGAAAATGTGAATATAACCAGGGACGCAGGCGTACTGAAGATTTTACTGAAGGGATGTTTTTGTGCCACTCAGAGTGATACTTCCCAACAGTTTATTTGCTGTAGAGTATGGATCCTTCCTGCCTCTAAGGTTTTTGGGGGTTGTGTTCTCATCTTTGGAGTAATTAAACAGCTTTTCCAGGGGCTGTGTTAAATATATACATGCTTGTTTTTCGGGTAGAGGCTACTGATTCCACGTTAACTTGGAGTATTTTCTCTTACTGCTGAGGGATGAGTTAAGGCCTGCGTTGCGGTCACTAGTACTGTAGCCTTTAGGCATTTGCCATTTTCTGTTGCCCTTCCTTGTTTGTTACTGGAGATGAGAGCTGGATTGGTGGGGTCTGCACTTCCGTGGCACAGTGCTTTGGAAAGAAAAGTAGGGAGGTCTGTCTCATCACTTCACATTGGGAAGCTGAGCTAGCAGAAGCTGACTGGGAGATACCACTGTAAAGACACTAAGATTTGGGTGAAGCACTGCTCACTTTCTTTAGAGATCACATCTGTACTCTGAAGTTTATTGATATGTTTGAGAGCAGATACTCGACCTCCCTTTTTTTTTTTTCCTCCGGAGAAATTTATTACCGTAGGAAGGATTGCAACGAGGCTTTAAAGAATATCTTTGATCAGCTGTGTCCTGTGTGACTCTTGGTAACCTGCGTGTTGCTGTACTCTGGTAATCAGTTGTCTCAAATCTTGATTAACAAGTGATCTGAAAGAATACATTAAAACCATTCTAAGTGCCTAATTAGATAAACACTTGCTAAAATGTACTAACAGTAATAGGAACATTAAACTATAAATTGCTACCAACAGGTGATTATGTTGTAAGTTTGTCAATAATACAAAATCTGAAAAAATAGTTTTTAAAATAGCTTGTTCAGGATAGCTGCTTACAAGTTACAAAAATAATCGTAACACAGAGTCAGATTGTTTAGGAATAATACTTGAAGGTTAGTTGAAATAATCTATTGAATATCTTGAAAAATGAGCTGTAAGACTGGAACTTTTCAATGTAAAAGGTTAAAGCTTGTTGCCCGGTATTTCTGCAGGGTTTTGTGTAAATGATACACACCTGCCAGAGCACATCAGTAAATGAACATGCTCAATGCCATTGCCTACCTATGCCCTTGAATTTTCATAATGAAATGAGACAGTACTGAGCCCTTGTAAAAGCTGATGGATTTGATTACAATAACAGGATAGAAAGAAGCATCCCCAATGTAAGTAACATCTATTATTTTATTGATTAAAACCTAAACATGTAATTTTTTAATGCTAGGTGCTTCTGAATCACCATCTAATGCCCTTGATTTTTCTTTGCCTTTCCTCCTTTCCTTTTCAGTCAATGCGAAGACATCCTCTGGTTTTGTCAAGGACAAGTTTCTGTCGTTTGTATTTTTAAACCCAATCAGAGCCTGAAGAGGCTCATTTAAGCAGGCTGTACAGTGGGCTGCTTTTATAAGTATAATTTTTGTTTTTCTGAAATCTGCTGTCACCTGCATGAATTTCAGAATAGGAAAAAAAAAATGTGGAACAATATTGCACTTGATAAAGAGCAAGAGCCATTTTGGAAAGTATAAATTTCTTTATGTGATAGGAAATTAGCTAAAAAGACATCACTGGCTGTTATTGAATTTCTCAACTTAATGATCTCACGTGCTAAAGCTTCAGCTAGGCAGCTCTGTTCTGTGAATTTACAGGTAATAGTAGGAAAGCATTATCGTTCTTGTCATGTTTTTCACTATTTCAGTAAAAACAAAGTGTATTTCATTATTGGAATAAGTGGAAAAAATACACCGGGGGTATCTGGCAAGGTGCTCATGTTGAACAGAGCAGCTGAAGATCTTGTTAAAGTTTTGTGCTGATAGGAAACCAAGGGGTAGCCTCCTAAGAAATGTTTTCTCATAATCTTTCAGAACTGGTCTTAAACTAGTCCAAAGGACTCTTCTGGATCGCCTGCAGCAACTGAGATTGTTCTAGCTGTTGTTTAGTTGGGGAAACAGCTGTTAAGTCAATTTTAGGCTTTTTTGTTTTTGTCCTCACTAACTTCCCAAACCTAATGATTTACTTCTTGTTGCTTTTTGTAGTTAGGGGTCTGAGACTATATTTTGCAATTTATGGTAGTATGTCAATACCTTAATTTAACTTATTTAAACAACAAGCTGTGTTCTGGTAGACTTCAAGGAGCTGTCTTTAAAATCACAGTGTAATTGGGGAGGAAAATTACTTGTACAGTGGCAAGACTCTCCTTTTACTGTGCATGGCCTTGCTGTTTGCATCCCATGGGGCAAGAGGCCATTTTTGGCACAGAGCTGGTATAATTGCTGCCCCTTGATGCCTTTGGGGTGTGGAAACATGGCTGGGATGTTGCCTGTCTTCAGGTGAAGTCTCAAGTCAGGAAAGTGTCAAGGCTGAGAATTTGCCCACCTGAAGCCCTTTCAAACCAAAAGATGCTGGGCGTACCTTGCTGCAAAATACTGCTTTCTGGCCTCATTTTTTTGTAATTTGCTCTTACGTGCAGGACTTAGGTTTCATTCTTGCCCCAAATTTACTTCTGAATCCAATGCTTTCACTGCTGTAGGTCGGAGGAAGTCCATGCAAACTTGATCTTCCTGTGCACTGGCTTCTTGTACATCTTAGCATCCTTTAACGCCACTCAGTGTGTGTGGGGAGAGTGCTTAATAGATGATGAAATGACATTTCATCAAGCTTGTAAAACTGTGGTGTCTGCAGGTTAAAGATCACCTGAGCAGCTGTAAGCAATCCTGTACATAGAACACGTGTAGCACGCTCCCGTGTATGTTATTTGTGGCTGGAAGTCTGCCTTTTGGTCCATGCATGGGGGGAAGCCCCTATTCCCAGCTACCTCATTTTTTTGCACTTTGTCAAATCATTTTTTTTAAATTACATTTTGTCCTTCAATAAAAAATAAAACCAGACAAGAAGCAGGGCAGAATGATGCCATTGTCCAAGGACAGTTTACTTTAATTTCATTTTAAATGCATGTTTCTGTACAAAAAGACCAAGGTTGACCTGCAGCTGCTGTAAAAGTAAATAAAAAATTATATTACTTGAAAGTAACTGTTATACTTGTAAATGAGCTAGCAATTGAAAGACTGTCCTGGTGATTTTTAAATAGGAAAAAAACTAAAATGTAGAGGTCTACTTTTTAAAGACAGATTAGATGTTTTTTTTTTCTCTGCTTCTACTCTGCACTGTTTTGCCTGTGAACTTGATCCATTTTCTCAATAGAGAGATTCACTGACTTATCTGTAAGGTCAAATTTGGACTTCCTTACATGCAATTCCCCATTTACTGTATAAATAAATGAGAAAGTGTCCAAATAAACACATTTTCTGCACCTGAGATTTTATTTTGGTCATTTTCTTTGGGACCTTCAAGTATGCAGGTTTTTCATCAGTTTGAAGAATTAAAAAAATATATGCTTTTTTTTCCGATTCTAAAGGTGCTATTTTGACATATTTTTTGAATTCCTTACACTGTGCTTGACTTATTAAAGTACCAATGTGAGCTGATAATCAGCTCGTGTTTGTTCTGGTTTTTGTTTTGAGTATTCAGTCCTTCAAAAAAAAAAAAAAAAAAACAAAACCCTTTTCATAGACAGCTTCCTAATAGCCTTAATAATAAAAAAATGTAATTGGGAAAAATGCTGCCTTTTTCCTGCCTTTATAAAGGCAACAACAACAGCAAAAAGAAATGCTTCACAAGGAAATCTTCCTCTAAAATGTTAAGTAGCGGCTCATACTAACTTTGAATTGAATGTAGCAAATATTGTACTGGCCACGCACAAATAGTAGGGATAAAACAAGGAGCTATTCATGTCCCTGCAGGCTGTACCAATTAGCTACTAATTCCAGAGCCTTCTATTGGCATCATGGTGGCTATTCAGTAAATATTAATCTTCTTGGGCTAGATCCCAGGACCTGGCTGTGTTGTTCCCACTTTGGGATACGCTGACCTATGCGGCTGTAGGAGCATCTGGATGTTGTTTGGCCTGGCCTGAGGTAGGATTTTTGCCATCAAATTTGAGGCATGCAAATGGCTGGCAATGTCCTCGTCACCCCAGAAAGCTCAACCACGGTTGGGAGGTAGAAGAGGAGCCACCAAATGCTGCTGTGGGGTGGCCATCGAGCGGCCCCAGCCTGGTGGTCTGAGGAGGCTGTTGTAGATGTGAGCCGTGGAGGAAAGAGCTGAATTTTAGTCCTGGGTAGGAACCTTGTTGTTGCCCTTGTAGTGGTCTCTGTATTTTTGTTGAATCCTTATCATCAGGTCAGCTTCGTGATTTGATATCTTCACGTTGCTGAAAGATTTTGGTTCTGTGGAGGTCAGAAAATTGCGCGCTGCCCGGTCAGAAGCAGCAGGAAGAATCAGGGGGATCTCTGTGAACCTAGCCAATCTTCAGCATCAAGTTCCGTGTCTTTGCACAGGCTTCAAAGTCCTATGGGTGTAACGTTCCTCAGTTGTTAATCTAAAAGCCTTTTAACTCCTGAAAAGTTGAGAGACAGCCTCATGTTGGGTGCTGTGCTCCAGGCAACCCCAGCTTGCCCGGCCTGGCCTTGTCCAGGAGCCACGGGCTGGCGGCCTTCGTGAGGAACTGCTGTGTTCCCTGCAGCACGCAGGGAAACAGCCAGAAAACAAGAGACACAGGGAGCCCTACTGAGCCTCCACACCCCTGATCCCCTTATTTTAGGGAAAGCTGACGAGGAGCACCATCACCAGGCCTGCACGCAGCCTGAGCCTTGCGGCTGCTCCCCAGCAGCAGGGCTGAGGAGATGTCCCTGCTGCCCGTAAGGTTTGTGGGCTGACTGCTATCAGAGACCCAATGTGGTGTTTTATTGTACTTAAGTACACTACACCAGCACATTGGATTTAAATCAAAGTGTTGGAGGCTCTGGAGCCTTTTCTGCAGGGTAGGACGAGTGTAGGCCTAACTATCCAGGGAGCTCCTGGCTGCCTGGTTTTCCACCCTCCCTTTTATTTGTCTGTAGTAAACAGAAATGTGTAGTTGCCTCCCAGTTTGCTTACTTACTGTTTAGTAATCTGAAGTTGGAGCCTGATAATTTGAGATCTTTTCTTTTGAAGGCAAAATTTAAGTAAAATTTATTCAAATTAGATGCTCTACCTTCAGAGTTTTCTCTCTATAAACCTTGTTTATTGAGTACCATGAATCTTGCAGGGTTGGACTAAAGAATTAAAATCCATATGTGAATGATGGCTAACTTAGTATAAATTTGTACTATACCAATCTTCTCTTTTAGCATAGGAAAACAAAATAACAACTGCCTTGATTAACAAAGTCATGAAACCAGTATTCCTGTGAGCCAAGCAGCAGGAGGGTGTTGGGTTGTCAGGCCTTTCCTAAGCATATTGCTACCGCTCTCATGAAGGTTCAGCCTTCTGTCAAATGTAAGGTACTGATGACTGTCAGCATATTGTCAGAATATATTGTCGCCTTTTCTACACAAATATGTCAGTGATACGGTAGAAACACTCACCTGGTCATGTTTACCATCACTCTATGCAGCTTGACAGCTCAGTTTACTCCCATCATCCAGCTGTCATGCTTTGACTTCTGCATTACAGATGTGCTTACTGTTCCAGGCTTTTTATATGCATACGTTTTCTGTGTGTCTTTCTGTTCTGTGTGGGAATTGAGTCTTTGCTTTTTTTTTTCTTCACTGAGGGCCAGCCCTTGGAACACTCTGTCCTATGTCTTTTCTTAGAGTGAAAAATAAGAAGCAAGCACTCTGTCTTCAATCAAACTATGCAATATAGAGCTCCAGAGCTGGATTCCTTATGGTACAGAAGGTACACCACTCTTGTGTCCTTCCTAATCCAGTCCTTGGTCCAAGGTTAGGAGAACTTGTACTAAATGGCTGCCCAGGAATCTTGTATCCAGCTCTTGTTCACTGGTTTTACTCCTCCTTCCCCTGCCTTCTCTGTCCAGCTTGTTAGGTGTTTTGTCTGAACTAAGTGGTGTCAAAGTGTATCCCCCCTGTCAGTGCCATGTTGTTGCTGGTTGGAACTTGTCTTGTAAATCCACCAGTGCAGTTTACCCACTGGGGTAAGTCAGGGGCCACTTCACAGCATTTGCATCTCCTTGCTCTAGAGTGCTTTAGGCATTTGGGGTGGGCTGTGCCCCTCCAGGTAGGTCTAGGTCTTGCTTATGTCCCCATGATCAGTTGTGGGTCTGGTGCTTACAGGGATGCATAACTGTGATGTCTCAAATGCAGTCTAAGTTTTCATTTCCACTGCTTGTGCGTGTGTACACGTGCTTGATTTTGCTGCTTCCATTGCAATTCAGGGATAAATGCCCATGTGGTCACGACAGTTGTTGAAGATTCATTGTTCCCCCGTTGTGTCATTTTTCCAGTGAAGTTTGTTCCTTGTGTTCCTCTTCGTGCTTCTACTAGATACTATTAACATCAATACACTTTTTCCCCCCAGGTCTATGGCCTGTGAGTTGCTCTCATCTATCCGTTTATCTTGTCTTCTCACATTATAATGCCTTCTTCTGAGTAGTTTACTTATATTTGTCATTTAATTTAACCCACAGTGTACCTCATACTGCTTCTCCCTAACTCCACGTCCTAGTTTGTCTTTCTTTTAATTCAGGTTAACCTTTATTTATTTCCCTGATTTCAAAAGATTTCAGTGTATGCACAGGAGAGAAATGGCAAATTTCTCTTCAGATGTCTGTGTCTATTCCCTCCCTGGCACATTCAGTGTGAGGGATTCAGACTTCACCATCCCTAACCCCAGGCTTTTCTTAGCGCTAGGCAGAACAAAGTCTGAAGGTGTTTTTTTTTATTTCTTTTGGTAATTGACAATATTTGGAGATTTTCTTCTTCAGAAGTAGCCACTGCAGATAAGCAGTTGGCCTGCAAGAAGTTTGTTATGCTTCCATATTCAGTATTTTTAATTGAGAAGCAAATTATTTATTTTGGGGAGAAATGTAAATTTTTTTGTATTTGTATGTCAAAGTGGCCTTTATAGGAAAAGCACATAAAATATTTAGATTAAAATTGCTTAGTTGTGTAATTTTAGTGGGGATTTTTATATTGACAGGGTTTCTATGCATTTTTCAAAATATACTTACTGTTTTGTGTTTAAATTATTGGAAATATTTTTAAAACATATATTTACCACATTTTCCATGACGGATCCCTTTACTATCGTTCCTTTTGAATACTACAAAGATTTAATTAACCCTGTAAATTAATTTTCCCCCACAAATATTTGCATTAAGTCAATACGATGAGTTACAACATGGGTATGTAGCTTTACGGGAATAATCTTCGTAGCGTAGCTTAATTATGGAGAGACTTTTTTGAGAAGGGCAGTGCGCAGTGTTTCAATTGCACTTAAAAGACTAAGTTAGCAAATAAAGTTCTTGCTGTACCTCACTAGGTTGTTTTCATTTTTTTTCCATCCTATATTGTTTACACAGTCATTATTAAATATGTGCTATTTATGCAGTATGCAGTTCTCCTTCGTTTGTTGGGATAATACTAACGTTAATGGATAGGGAAAGCTTCAGAACATGTACAGTGTCCTACAGGATACGATGTGAGTTTGGGGGAGGGAGGAGAGAAGCTAGATCCATTATTCTATTTTTTGCATTTAATTGTGTACACATTTTCACGCTAACTGAAACTAAATTAGTAGAGCTTTCTATTGAATTGTAAGTAAAATTAGTGTTTTAAGGCGGGGGGGAGGGCGGGGGACAACGAAGGGGCTTAGAGAACTGGGCAAAACTACCCTCTGAGTTGCACTACAGCGTTTGTGCAATTGCCTTGACTGCCTATGCAAAGTATAACCCGAGTTGGATACATCGGACCCTTCCATTATTGCTCTGATTTTACTTTCTGTTCTCGAGGTGTTATCGTAAGGCTTGCTGAGTAGAAATTTCCAAGGAATGTTTGTCAACCGATGCCTCAGTTTTATCCTTTTCTGTATGCGTTTTAATTTTCGCTGTTGTTTCAGTTTGATAAGAGACCCCACGTCGCTCATAGGTTAGCGTTAAGTGCAAGCTTTTAGGCCTAGTAACAAATGAACATTGCATGCTACCACGTATCCTCAGAACTGAAGAAAAATGTGCAATTTTAATGGCACTTTGACCTGTTGTTGAAACACTGGGTTTTGCAATGGAACAAACTCTCAACAATTGAAAACACTCTGTCTGTATTAGGTGTCTTGAAAGTGAAGAAAAAGGCAGTTACTCAAATTGTACCCACAGATAATTTGGTATCGATTTTATTCTTTTTAAGAGCTTTCTGATCTGTTATTAGAAAAATACACGTTTCTTGGTTTACTTTAGTTGCCATAAGTTGCCCAGTGCAGAGTCTGGTCCACCTCCATCCATTTATTTTCATGGAGTAGTCGCACATAAAATTGTAACAGCAAAGCAGAGAAACGGTTGGGTTCCTTCCCGGTAACCTTGCTTGCAGAATTGCTTTGTGGCTCGCACATGATACAAAAAGGGACGTGAGAATTTTCCTGGATTAAGTAGCACTTGCTTTGTTTACGTGTTCAGTATAACGTTGGGTGACTAAAGGGAGGTTCCCTTTTTAAAGTATTTGAATTGTGCTTTGGGGACTTAGTTGCCACTGTGCAAATTGTGCTGTAATATTGTACCAAGGATCAGTGAAAGTGTTTTATCTTTTTTAATGTTGTTTGTATTTGACCGGGTTTTATAAATGTAAGAAAACAGAGTGTTGTATTTTGATCTGAAATTTGCGTATGGTAAAGTAACTTTGCTTTATGTATTGGAGGTTTGTTCAGAACTTGAATTATTTTATAGAAGGGTACAGACCAAAATTAATTGTCTTAAAGGTGTTTAATAAACTAACCAAATAAAACATTGATGGTTTGAAAACTTGTTAACTGCTTCATATCAGTTTTTTGTTGTTTCTATTTTTAAAGGAAAGGAAAAACGCAGTTCAGGATTTTTTTTCTCAAGGTCTTATGAAGAATGAAAAAAAAATGCAGTGGATTTTATAAATATCATCTCCCATGAGTTATCTGTCTTATTATTAAACATACCTACATGCCAGAAGTTTAATCAAAGGGGAAAACCCAAAGGAAATCAATGGGGGAGGAAAGGCAAGGGAACTCGAGGGGGGCGGGAGCCATCCCTCTGGGCTCTGTCCAGGCAATAAATGCCCATGACTGTGGGTGTCAGTGATGGCCACGCCGGGGGAAATGCAAGTGGGAAGAAGCTTCTGTTCACCTGGAAAAGCTCGGAGAGTTGTTTGAAGGTCTCCCTTCTTCTCTGCAGTCACCTTCGTTACTCCTCCCGAGTACTGCTGCTTTCATGTGACCTTTAAAGCCAGGAGCAAAGGAGCTGAAGCACAACTGCTCCCAGGGGCAGGTACCTGGAGCTCGTTCCAGGGCTGCCAGATACTTGGAGACCCTCGTATGCTGTGGCGTGTGTGTGTAACCTCCTGAGGTCAGAGATCCAGGCTTTGTAAGGTGCCAACCAGCTGCAGGACACTTCCTTTGTGCTGGGCTTGTCCCTTCGAGGGTGTATCTGCCACTGCCTCTGCTTGTGCTCCAACAGAGCTGGAGCAAGGGGTTTGGGCTGTTTAAGAGGAGGGAGCCCTACTCCAATACCTCTGGTCTTCAGGAAAAGCCATGATTTCACCAAGCTCCATGTACCATTTTTTAAAATAAAAAGACATCGAGGCACAGCCAGATGGATGCGAAGAAAAGCCAAGGTTTGGGGTGGCTTTGGCTGGGGGAGCGGGGTGGGATGGCAGTTCCATGGCTCCGAAAGTGCAAAAATGGGTGCTGTGAGCACTAAAAAAGACAGTGGGGAATAGGAGGGAGAGGTGAGTGTTTGCTGTTCAGTGCAAAAGCCATCCCAAAGCGGAGCACAGGTCCTGAACCGCCAGCCAGTGTGGTGCAGAGAGCCTGAGGCCTCCACTGTAAACACGGGCTGATGATAGGGAATCTAATGTTGATTTACCTTTGTTGCTGGTGTTCCCATGGTTATGGCTGCGTAGATGGGCTCTGCCATATCTCCTCTGTCTTACTGCTTCTTGGAAACAAAGAGACGAGGGTGAACTTGGATTTATCTTTATTCCACAGCCTGGAATCCTAACAGAGGATTGCTGCTTGGCTCCCTTTACCTTTTGCGCACTGCGGAGGTATAACTTGAAATTTCCATTTCTTCCTCTTTATCCCTCTCATTTTGTTTTTTATTTTTCTGAAGTGGCACAAAATACATCCAGATGCAGTTTATTTAGTGGGGCTGTTCAGCTGAGGCACTCAGTGCCGGGGAGTGAAGCTGCCCTGGGCCCCCTGTGATGTCTGTGCCCCAGGCAAGCTCGGTCACCCACTGCTGGGAGCACAGAGGCACAAAGGGACTTCTACTGCCCCAAGCAGCATCCCCCAGCTCTCTCCCTAGCAAGGGTTAGGAGCTGTGATGCTCCTGGGGGAGCATCCCCAGCCCTGCAGAGCTAGGCTCTTCCCAGGAGGTTCCTCCTTGCTAGGAGGTGCCACCCGTGGCCTCTGCAGAGCCCAGGGGCCTGAGCAAGCTCCACCAGGTGCTGTTTCCAGCTGAAGAAGAGAAGGAAGGTGGTGTGGAAGGAGGGGAAGCTGCCACGGTGTTCTGCAGAGCAGGTAAGCAGCTGCTGGCCCCAGCATCCCAAAAGTAGCAGCAAGCCCTGCGTCCACTGCTCTCTGTGCCGCCTGCTCAGTGCTTTGGCACAGCAACCACTGGAAGCACTGGAATTAACTGAAGAATGAATTGCTGCTCCGAACTCAATAGCCCTCTACCTCCTGTCTGCGAGTTGCTGTAAAGTCAGAGTCAAAACTACTGCGAAGTCCCCAGGGACCTGGGGAAGGAGCAGGTAACTCAGCCGAATGTCATTGCTGCCACTCAACAGATCTTGACTGCAGCTCCAGGTGAAGGCAGTGGCCGCAGGATCCGACCGGTTGTTTTTGCTTTTTCTCCAGCATATTTGGTCCCACATGGGCCTGGCTCTGTCACACGTGGTCTCAGAGGAATCGTGAACCCCAACACCGTGGGCTGGGCTGAAGGAGTTGGCTAATGGAGAATTTACGGTAAGAGCAAATGTATTTTTAACCACCAGGATATGCTTATCGTCAGGAAAGGGCAAGCAGTACTCCTATCTCTCCAGGGAAGGGGAAGTGTTGAGCGTGACTTTAGTTTTTTCCAACTCCTTTCCAAACTCTGAAAGGTTTTTTCTTCCTGAGACTTGTTGTTGGATTAAATTAGGGAGTTAAAAAGACATCAGTCCTGGGTCACAGGTGAAAAATATTAAATGCCAGGCATGCAGTGTTTTTCCATTGCATATACCGCATGTTTTCCCCTTTGTGTTCAGGAAAGGCCTTTGGAAAGAGAGCTCTGAAACTGACCCGCTGTGCTTTTTTAAACACACCGAGAGCGTCTGTCCAGAAGCTTTTAATTTTTCAGGGCATCTTTGATGTTTTCTGTCCCGGAGAGGAGAGCGGCCTCCCCTCCTCGCAGCCCTCTACCCCACCCTGCTGCCTGTGCGGCTGCGATCTCCGGCTGCTTTTTGGCTGGGTTGCTCTGATGGGAGAGGGGCTGGGTGCGTCCCCCTCGCTCCCGTGGGCGCACCCTGTCCTGTAGGGCTCTGTCCCAGCGTGTTTGAACTTTGCCACCCGGGAAAGCGGCAGCTCGCCGCAGGTGGCAGCGCTTGGCTCCCTTCCTACCTGCGCCCAGGGACGCGGCCGAGCTCAGGGCTCAGCTCCCCGGCAGCAGGGCCCTGACATTTCCCACAGCCCGCCCTGCTCTCACCTTCCCTAATCCTGCCCCGGGAGTAGGAAAGCCCTTAAGGGCCACCCAGCGTGATTTGCTGGCAGGGCAGGCAGTAAGGATCCCTTTCAGGGTGCCTGGGCAGGAGGGGTTTTGCTGATTCTCTGTACGCCCGCTTGACTGTTTCCCTTGGGGTAGGAGTCACAAAGAAAAGGCTCTGAAGGCTTTGAAGTGCTAAAAGCCACCTGAGCCAACAGGCCAGCCCCTACGAGGTGCATGAGGTGCATCGTGCATGAGGTGCATCGTGCTGCTCCCATCCCACCTGCACGGAGCAGAAGGCTGCTCTCACCTGTCCTCCTGGCTGTGGGCCTGGCTGTGTCCATCGGCTGCTCGGGGAGCCAGGGGCGATGCTCTTGGACCTGATACACCTCTGCAAAAGGTTTGGACAGGGAGATCCTTCTTCGTGCAAGTCTTGCTCGTTTGCAGTTAAGTCTTAACTTCTTTCCCAGTGCTTTGGGTTGCCCTCAGTTCCCCCCCTCGCACAATAATGCTGCAGGATCCATTTGCTGCCTCTCAGTCCGTCTCCTCATTTCAGCTGTGCTGTGCTGCTCTCCTTGCTGTTGCAGTGTGAAATATTCAGGCAGAAATGCGAAATTCCCTCTTCTGAAAGTCTCATACCACATCTTAGAGCTTGCCATGAGGCATGGGAACATTCCTGGCTCTACCTGCTTTGAAGAGCAAACAAAAGCTGCAAGCACAATGCTGTCTGGTCTCGGCAGATGCTTTGGAGACCAGCCCATTTTCATGGAAATTAGGTTGTTACTATTAGTTTATTTTTTGTCAGGACCTGAGTGATTCCTAAATCATTCTTCCATTTTCATAAAGTGGTCTGTGAATCACACGCATGTAAAGCAAAAGAGTTAGCAAATCCTGCCTCCCTTTGATGTGCAGTAATCCAGCCTGCTCATTTTTAGAACTGCTCCCTGGAATTTTCCGGCTTATTATTAATATTTCAATGAAAGTTGGGAGAGGAAAAAAAAAAAAAAGAAAGAAAAGCCACTACCTTGTTCTTGTTTAAAGAGAACAAGAAGGTTGTGCAAGCTAAAATGGAAACAAAGCTGGTTTGCAGCTGAATAATTGTGTAACCTCCATGTTAAGAAATGACACGAGGAAAGGGCCGAAGAAGAACGTTCTGAAATGAACCCTTCGGGTATGGGACATTGGCTAAGGTTAAACAATCCCTGTGCAGAGAACTGTGCAGTGCTCATTACAGCCCCGCACAGAAATAACACCGTAATACTTCTCGTAAGCCAGACGAGTGGCTTTAAACACAGGCACATTCAGTTTGTCTCCATTCAGAGACGTAGTGTCAGAACCAAGCGCACCACCACTCAGTTTGTTCCCAGCATTTCCCATCTCTTGTTTCCCTGCTGGATGGCGCTTTGCACCCTGCAGGTATTGGGCTGGTGATTGGCATGGTAGGACATTATTCCAGGACATTATTCAATTTCTTTTTACCTACTATTAACTGCCCGCTCCAACTTTCTGGGCTCTTTTTTTTTTCCTTAGCCTAACCTGTTCGTTGGAGCTGCTGTAACTACAAAGGCACCAGACCTTCCTTTGAGATGGCGGACACTCTGAATTTGCTTTGCTGTACAAATGTATTGTTATAAAAGTCCAAGAGATGAACTTTTCCTTGCCTTACTAGCTGCTGGGAATAGGTTAGGCATAGCACGGCTGCTCCCTACTTTTGAGTAGGCAATCAGTCTTCTGAGTTTGCAAAGGAAGGTACAATATTCTTCTGCTTTCCTACCTGTAGAAGTGACTTGAACTGGGCATTTTTGGTGTTTTCATTTCATCCACTGTTTGCAGTGTGCCCAGAGAACATCTTCCTGCAGGACTTCTGTGGGCCATTCAGTTCTGTGGACTGGTGATTAAGTAAATAGAGCAATGTCCTTTCTAGCTCTGTGACTGAATTCAGCAATTACTGGAGTCGGGGAACTGCAGAATAATGTAGTTTAACAGAAGGAGCAGCCATCGTTATAGCCGTGGCATCTATATTGTGTGATTTTCCAGAGAAATCTGGAAGGAAGGAATCTTCTGCAAAATTTCTTTGGCTAAACCACATCCTGCTTC